TGGGGGGTCCCAGGAGTGTGTCCCACCCAGGGGGGTCCCAGGGGTGTTTTTGGGGGTCCCAGGGCTGTGTCCCACCCAGGGGGGTCCCAGGGCTGTTTTTGGGGGTCCCAGGGCTGTGTCCCTCCCTGATCTCCCCCTTCTCCCCCCGCAGTACCTGGAGGAGGGGGGGGTGGGCTACATCCTGAGCGGGGCCGGGAACTTCCTGGAGGACTCTCGGCCCCACGAGGGCTCCGTCCCCCCCGGCTCCCTGCGCTTCTTCTTCGGGACCCCCACGGCCCCCGGGGGCTTCGCCCACGTGCGCCTGGAGCCCTCGGGGGCCACAGTCACCTTCCTGGAGTCCACGGGGCGTGTCCTGTACCGGGTCACCCTCCCCCCAGGGACATCTGACTCTCCTGTGACCTCTGGGGGACACCGTGACCTCTGATCTCAGGGACCTCCCCCCAAGACCTCTGACCCCTCACCTGGAGGACACTGTGACCCCTGACCTCAGGAATCCCTGTGACCCCTGACCCTTGGGGACACTGACCCTTGACCTTGGGGACCCCTGACCTGGGACCCCCCTGACCTCTGACCTTGGGGACCCCTATGTCCCCTGACCTCAGGGACCCCCATGACCCTTGACCTCAGGGACCCCCCTCACCTGGGGGACACTGTGACCCCCTCCCTTATCTGGGGTCACAGGGAGGGAACCCCTTGTCCCCTGACCCCCAATAAACGCTTTGAACGGCGCCTCCGCCTTTAACGGACCCAAACCCGCCGCTTTTCGCCCCAAAAACACATGGGGAGGGTGGGATAACGGCGGCCCCGCCCACCCATGCTGCTGATTGGCTGAGCTGCGCGTCAATCACGTAATGGGCGGCACAACACCGGTGTTCACGTGGTGTTAGCGCCCCACTGCTGATTGGCGGAACTGCCCGTCCATCATTCAGTGGGCGGGACAACACTGCCAGTCACGTGAGGGCACCGCACGCCCATCACCCAATAGGCGACTTCGGCACCAGGCACGTGACGCCCTAGGCCCGCCCCTCATCGCCTATTGGATGAGGTGGTGCGCCCATCGTCCAATAGCCGGCGCGCCTGCGCGTCACGTGACGGAGAGGTCGCCGTTCCCGGACACTGATTGGCTAAGGGCGGCGAGGCGGCACTTCCGGGTGCGCGGCGGGAGCGGAGCGGGAGGAACCGGCGGGTCCCGGGAGGGTTCGGGGGGTCCCGAAGGGTCCCGGGGGGGGGTCGAGCCGGCCCCAGGAGGGGTCGAGCCGCTCCCGCAGCGGGTCGCGGCCGCTCCGAGGCGGCTCCCGGTGCCGCCGCCGCTCCCGGTGCCGCCGCCGCTCCCGGTGC